CGTTTCCGATATCGTGTAAATATGGCGATAACTCACTCTACGGGCTGTAAGCATTCTAGAGCCAAGAAATCATAATGATGCGCGTCCGAGTTTCCTATTAAAAAGCGATCAAAGGTGAAAACGGTATCCGGCGATGGGGGGGGGGGGGGGGGGGGGGGGGCGTTGTGTTGGCAGTTAGAACGGCATCTGACCAATGAAAACAGGACATTTTGCTGAGATTGGAAACGCTCTGATATCAAAATATATATGCTTTTGTAGATCATAGAAGCGAGAAAAAAGTAGTCGAAACATGCCAATTTTTCGCGGATATATAACCCTGCAATATTCGTGTAATAATATTTCTTTTTGTTTTTCTTTTGCGGTAGTGTCCAGTCCGGTTGTCAGCTCTCGAGCGTTCAAGCGAGCGCTCGCTGGGCTGAATCGAAGTCCGGGCTGTATGGGCAAGGTGTCCCGCATATTCGAGATATCACTCCGCGGTTCCACCTGTCGGAGGCGCTAGGATGCTTCACTTGCTACTGCCTGACAGTGGTCCTGGTTTCGGAACATGCTCCTCAAAAGTAGGAGATTAAATCGGTGTGTTGCAAATCTTTGAGTGCTTTTTTAATAGGGAAATGGGCCGGGTATGGAAGATCATGTTGCTTAATTAGCACGATGCCCAGGGTTGCAAATAGGAATAGGAATTGCCAATCCTTTTTTCGCTAATTGACCAAGCTTTGTCTCCACCGGTCGTGTTTCACACGCTGCTGTTACTTCTAAGTTACACTGCACGCTTCCACGTCTTCCTCGCTCGCAGTCCAGTCTTGGCTGACGGAAAATAATTCCTGGAAAAGGGAAACAAGAGGGAAAAAGGATAAACACAAATCTCCAAACACAGCTAGGTGACTGGTGATCGACCGGAAAGATCCGCCTGGTCCGGTTATCGAACCCGGGACCTCTCCATTACAGGTGGAGCGCTAGGACCAGGCGGATTTTTTCGGTCGCTCACCAATCACCTAGCTGTGTTTGGAGATTTGTGTTTGTCCTTTGTCCCTCTTTTTTTCCTTCTCCAGGGATTATTTTCGTCATTCTTGTCCAGCTCGCTTGCACCTTTGCATTTAATTACAGTCTTGGCTGTTTACTTCATCGCTGACAACAAGACCAATTTTACACGTCAAAATCCCGGTTCGGGTTCCGGCGAGTCTGGTTGTTGGTGCACCTTGAGCACGGCTTTACGCTCCTTTCAACTATTATTTTGTTTAGATGCGCCAATGCCTTTGAATATTCGTGCCGTTTCTCTGCTACATACGGTTACAGACAGCGCAGGCTTCGCTCCATGGGACTGTTAACGCTTTCGCATTCAAAGTGAGAGCTCTCCAATTTAAGGGATCCAGTACGTTCAAGTTCACTGTGAATAAAAGTGTTGAGTCGACGGGAAACATCGACGGGAAGCAGTTGGAAGAGTAGTTCTTCGAATGAGGGAATATCGCATCATAAAAATTTGTAGAGATGAAAAATTGTCAAATTTGACCATTTTTCATTTTTTTCGTGACTATAATGTTATTTGTATCTGTAGCTTAAGCTACAAATACAAATAAAATTATAGTCACGAAAAGAAGAAAAATGAACACAAAATAAAAGAACGATAACATTTGCGTAAAAATATAATTATATCGCATTTGGAATATTTTATATCGTCCGCATGAAATTTTTCTGCATTTTCCCGAAAACTACGTTTCGTACAATTATAGTTTCTGAAATTAGCTGGAGGTGCCATAGGTGATTTACTCCTCTCTAAAGTACTCAACCTCCACGGTGTCCTATGCATGCCTGTATACGCCTCGCAAGTGGGTTCATTTTCGTCTTCTGCGCATGAGAAAGGAAGTAGCGGTGACGTCAGAATGCCGAGCCCTGATTGGCTGATCGCGACCCCCTATCTCAGCGTCGTCTGCTCCTTTGCAACGTCGTCTGCTCGCAACATCGTCTGTCTGTCTTACCTTTCCTGCAACTTTTGGAAGTGCAGGTCTTTACGAGCGACCTCGACTTCGCCTTTCAGAGACGGCAGATGAAATAACTCGAGCGGTACGTTATTTTTATCTAACAACTAGCGGGCACGCATCAAGGAAGGAAGTCAAAGGACTCACTGGCGAGGTGTCCCGAGGCGCCAAAGTTTGTTTGCTAAGAACCGAGAGTGAGCGTGTTAGTGTCCGCAAGTTCCCTCCCAAATACTTTTTCCCTCCTTTCGTGTGCGGCGAGACCCCTCATTCTTTAACGGCGTGGGCGGGTTGGCGAAGTTAACGTCGTCTGCTTTACGTCGGCTAGTCAAAGGGATGGCTGCTTTACCTTTCCTGGGTCTGTCGGAGATTCACCACTTTTTCATCGGCGAGAGCCACTGTTGCCTCGGGAAACAAGGAGATAACAAGAGGAAGAAATTGACCTCTTAATCTAAAACTGAGGTCAGCAATCAAAGTATAATACGGGAAGGGTTCACAAGGGTCGCGCGGGCATATTCTACTCAGCACACCAGCCAGTCGTGGGCAGACGGTCACCGAGTCGCGGAGTGCCTGCTAGGCCTAACTGCCGTGCTCGCTTGGTCGCGTTCGGTGGAATCGTGGCCGTTGGAGCTTTTCCCGGGTGTTTGTAGATCCAGCGTTCTTGTTCGTCGTGGTCTGTTTTAAGTACTTTTTACTTTTTTCTTGCTGCTTGAAGTTGGGACGCGTGAGAAGCGCACGTAGAAAAATAAACGTCCGTGGGTCGTCGCGACCGCGACGCTGTCGGCCATGCTGATTTGATCGTAAGAAGTGCGTAAGACAGCTTCGGAGCTGTCGTAGGATTTCGTCGTAACCTGCGCAAAACTTACGAAAATTTCGTTTCGTGAATACGAATTTGTTCTTAAGTTATGTCTTACCAACGAGGTATAGGGCCTTAGAGTGATAAACTGGCAGCTGAAAGTGACCCCCAATTGACCGCCGCCATGTTGTACAATTTTGACCACTAGACACGTGACCAGGCCAAATCTATGACGTAACCAGACCAAATCTCTGGCGTCAACAAAAAGATGGCAGCGCCCAGTGCGTGTCGGAAGCGTTGTGGGCGTTGATCGGAGTGGGTGGATTTCGTGTGCGGAATTCGGTTTTCCAGGGTTTTGTGTGCTCTCCCGCGTAGGAATAACGTGAAGTACGAGGAAATGAGGCTTTTCTTTTTTATTTAATTCAGAGTAAGCCAGATTCGGTCCCGTGCTTCTCGTACGGGATCACTACCTCGGACATCGCTCGGTCGTTCGAGTTTAATTAAAATATCCGCAATCGTTAACCACGGGAGCTCCTCCATAATCGCTGAGTCGAAGGATACGTCGAACCCATCCGGAACGCGGAGTCTAAAGGTATGCAGGACGTAACCAGAACGCGGAGTTCTAACGGTACGGCGGACGTGCCCGGGCAGTTTTCTTAGCTCGATTTGAAGCAGCGAGAGGAGTGTTGAAATCTCCGAACTGCTCGGTGCTGAGCTAACTACGGACCACTTCACTATGTGATCCGTAGTGACGTGAAAAAGACCGACGGCGGTCAGTCCGGGCGGACGGCGGCTCCCGGCCGCCTGCCGGGTGCCTTCTGTGAAGGGGCGACAGTCGTGTAAGCAGAACTGTACCAGTGTGATGATGTGACTCAATGTGGAAAAGAAGATGGAAAAGAAGAAGGGCAAGTCAACCCATGGATCGGCCCAGAGGGAGAAAGGAAGATGACGAAGAAGGGAAGTTTTGGGAGTGCGTGCAGAGAGCGCGTGAAAGGAGACGGGCCGAAGGGAACGTGCAGAGAGAGCGGAACGACACCATCGGCCAGGGCAATCGGCGGCCTCCTACTGTCTGACCAGCAGCCTGTTCCAGCGAGGGCAGCGCATAGAAACCTACGCTGCCCGGCTTCCTGCTGCGCGAGCACTGGTTGCGGTGACTCTTGGGACCGCCGACGGAAGCCAACCGCACCCGCTCCTGACTGCCTGCCACAACCGTCGGCCGACAACGACAGCCCCAGACACAACACCCGCTGCTGCGCATGGTGACTCAAAGACATGGTGACTGTTGCGTTTTCCTGCTTTCCATTTTTACTAAGTTTTCCTATTTCTTTTAGTATATCCATATGAACTCTTTGATATCTTTTGTAAATACATGTTTTAAGAAAAACGAAGGACATTGAATCTTGTCGATTATTAACCACGAAGAACCTCGCAACAATTAACTGGCGTCCGCGGCAGGACAAGATATTCTGTTCCTTCGTTTTTCTACGTAACAATAATTAATCAGAATGGAGGTTAAAGAGTCAATGTCTTTGGGCGCTGAGTTGGGACTGGCAGGAGCGGAGTTGAGGTCTTGGGTGGACCAGGAGCGAGCACGCCAACGAGAAGAGAGGGTTGCTGAGAGGGAAGCACAGCGCCTCAAGGCAGAAAGTGAGCAACGCATTATCGAACTAAAGATTCGTCTTGCAGAGGCTAGCGCGACCGAGATAGGACGAGCAGATGGCAGTGAAGGGTCACGTCGCGCATCTATATCGCTATCTCCTAGTCCGCACAAGCTTATGCCTCCCTTCGATGACAAAAGGGACGATCTCGACTCGTATTTGAGGAGATTTGAGCGTGTAGCTCAGGGGCAAGATTGGCCGCAAGAGAAGTGGGCGACTGCTCTAAGCATGTGCCTGGTTGGCCCAGCCCTGGAGGTCATAGGTAGGATGTTGCCTGAAGACTCTTTGGATTATGATAAAGTGAAGGGGGCTTTGCTCCAGCGGTTCCGTTACACGGCAGAGGGGTACCGCGAGAAGTTTAGAGAGAGCAAGCCGTTAGACGGAGAGTCAGGGAGCCAGTTTGCTGCAAGACTAGAAGGGTTCTTCGACCGCTGGGTCAGTATGAACGCATGCCCGAAAACGTATGAGGGGATTCGGGACCAGATGATCGGGGAGCAATTCCTTCGGAATTGTCATCCTAGGCTGGCGGTCTTCTTAAAGGAAAGAAGCTGGAAGACCATCTCGGCGCTGGTTGAAATGGCGGACCACTTCCTGGAGGCGCGGAGCCAGCCTAATCTGGCCAATTTCAGGAAGAAGGCCAAGGAAGCCTTAGATTCCCTGAACGAAGATGTGCATGGCAGCAAACCCGCTCTAAAAATAAAATGTTTCTTGTGTGGTAAGTTGGGCCACAAGGCAGCAGATTGCCGATCAAAGCCAGAAACACGCGTATTCTGTCAAGTGTGTCAGAGGTCAGGCCACGAGTCCAGATCATGTCCGCAAGGAAAAAACGGAAAGACAGAAGTTTCATGTTTCGTAGAACCCGATAATGATCCTGTTGGTAAGACGGACGCGTTCTCACGGAAAAGGAAGAAAATCTCAAGAAACGCCTTCAGAACGCCCGCCATGAATATGACTGAAAAGGCGAGATCATTTCTGTTGGAAGGTACGCCAATCACAGATGGGATATTAAACGGCAAAGCAGTAAAGGTGTTGAGGGACAGCGGGAGTAACACCGTGATAGTGCGCCGGGAACTGGTCGCATCTGAATATTTTACTGGCAAAGTCAGTCCCGTATTCTAAGTGGACGGGACGTGTCTGATGATGCCAGAGGCAAACATTCGCCTTGTGTCGCCGTTCCTAACGGGACAGGTAACTGTCAAGTGTATGGACCATCCTCTGTATGACGTCATTGTAGGGAATATTCATGGAGCGAAAGACTCGACCGAACAAACCCTGAAAAAGGTGTCTGATGCGGAAGATGAAATCGTCGCTGCCGTCGACGGTAGTATGCCGAGTAGGTTAAACCAACTTAGTAACAGTGGGAGTGCCAGGGAACGGGGGGACCTGCGGCTCTCGCAGTGGAGTGATCCCGACGCCAAGGCGCGCTTGAAAAGCAGGGCAACCACTCACGAGCAGTACCTGGAGAAGGAAAAGCTGCTGCAGCAGGTCTTCGACATGAAGAAGCCGGTGTACCCCAAGCCCCGCAGAGTGCTTTACCCGAGGCCGCGCCCCAAAAAGAGGGACCCTGAGGCCCAAACAGTGGTTTGGCCACTGGGCACGACTAGGGTGCCTCAATGACCTTCTGTTTAGGGTGATGCCATCGTTTGTAGTACCCGATGCCGACAGCACGCGCTCACAGGGAAAATACAAAGAAATCACAGGAAACAAAATGCCGCCGTAGCACAGTCAGCGCCACGAGCGCGTGCAGGGACACGCTCTTTCACGCGCTTGAGAACAAAAAATAAAAATAAGAGTTCGAAACAAAATGGCCAGATGTCATCACCCCAAGCAAAGCGCACATGAAGGCACCCTAGGCACGACCGATAACTACCCCGTGCCGGAGATAGATCCTCACGACAGCGTCCCGACCGAGTTCATCAAGGGCTACAGCCTGGCAGGAGCCGACCCTGCCGTCTCGCCCGGAGATGACACCATAGGAAATGGAAAGGCCAAGAGGAAGTGTCAGGATGGACGGCAGGAGTTCATTGAAAGGCAAGTGGACCGGGAACAAATGATCGAGGAAAAATACCTGCAGCTTGAGGAGCGAAGGCTCAAGCTCCACGAAGAGCGGCTGGCCTTTGAGAGGACCAAGTTTGAAGCAGAGGTGGCGGTCAAGGTCAGAAGGCTAGACATGGAGGAGAAGGAGCGCCGGATGCGCGACGGCACAGACAAGATGCACCTGGAGCTCATGAAGAAGATGTTCGACGAACTGGTCCGGAAGGCACTGTGATCGAGAACTGCCAGGAAATTCTTCGTCGCGTATGAAGTGCTTTGGTACGATGGTGGGCATTATCACCGAGCGTTAGAAGAAGCGTAGGGGATTCAAATGATTCTTCATTATGATCCATTCATTACGATTGAAAGGAGTGCAAAGTAGAATGAACTGTAGTAATTTATCGTTAGAATTTGTTTCTAGTAATATACCTCGGGTTATGCATTTTTGGCAGCGTATTTGCAAAGAAATTTGAGAACATATGGAGACGTTAAAGCCGTTTTTTGAGAGAATGCGACAAGCCGGTATTACAGTAAACCCATGAAGTGCGAAGTCGGTATAAGGACAATAACATTCCTGGGTCATGGTCTGGGTAATAGAGAAGGTTCGTGTGCATTTATATGGAACGCGTTTTGTTGTTTAGACGACCCACCATCCTTTACAATATCGAAACAAGGCGAAACAACTTAACAGCCGAGTGTTACGCTGGGGTCTGATGCCTCAAGAGTACTCGTTTCGCGTGGAGTACATTTAAATAAGAAAGAATGTGGGTGCGGGTTATCTTATTAGGCTGCAATGAACTTGCGCACATCATCATGGTCTTGGTTTTTTTTGTGTATGTAATTTCATTTAATACTTAAAAAAAAAACTTAAAGGGGGGCTCCTTGTGATGATGTGACTCAATGTGGAAAAGAAGATGGAAAAGAAGAAGGGCAAGTCAACCCATGGATCGGCCCAGAGGGAGAAAGGAAGATGACGAAGAAGGGAAGTTTTGGGAATGCGTGCAGAGAGCGCGTGAAAGGAGACGGGCCGAAGGGAACGTGCAGAGAGAGCGGAACGACACCATCGGCCAGGGCAATCGGCGGCCTCCTACTGTCTGACCAGCAGCCTGTTCCAGCGAGGGCAGCGTATAGAAACCTACGCTGCCCGGCTTCCTGCTGCGCGAGCACTGGTTGCGGTGACTCTTGGGACCGCCGACGGAAGCCAACCGCACCCGCTCCTGACTGCCTGCCACAACCGTCGGCCGACAACGACAGCCCCAGACACAACACCCACTGCTGCGCATGGTGACTCAAAGACATGGTGACTGTTGCGTTTTCCTGCCTTCCATTTTTTACTAAGTTTTCCTATTTCTTTTAGTATATCCATATGAACTCTTTGATATCTTTTGTAAATACATGTTTTAAGAAAAACGAAGGACATTGAATCTTGTCGATTATTAACCACGAAGAACCTCGCAACAACCAGCTTCTCTTATAGTTATGTTGTTCTCGAGCAGCTTCCCGATCACTAAACCCCGCAAACGCGTGCCGAAATTTCAAAAGGTGTCTGCCAACCTGGAAAGCCTGGAACTCCCAGGGAATTTCGGATCATCTGGGAAAGTCGGGGAATCATTCAAAAAGTGGGATAAATAAGGGAAGACGACTAGTGAAAGTGGCATGGCGGTTTGCTTGTCGGCACGGCCATGCTGAATGACATTGCCGAAATGTCAACCTTCGACTCAAAAACTCAAGGAATTTGATCAAAATAGTCAGGGAAAAACTTGAAAAAGTCGGGGAGTTTGAAATCAGTAGTTTGTTAGACACAATGTTTGATTTTCTTGGCACTCCACGCGTTTTTACGCACGACAGGCACACGCCCTTGTATCACACGGCAGCCAGGCCAAGCGGCTGCCAGCCACTTATGCAAGGTCGATAAGACGCAAGCGTGGAACGCTTTCGGACTGCTGTAAATACACCAGCGGGAACGTCCGGCCGCAGTCCGACTGCCCACACTAGGACACCCGACACAGACTCCGTATCCTGGGTACGTCTGACGTATCTTTAGATTTTGCATCCTAGGTACGTCAGACCTATCTTTAGACACAGCGCCTGATAATAGTAGTGAATAGGGTCACGTTCAGTGCGCAAGTCACTTTATTCCACTCGAAGAGCGGAATTCCATTCGCGTTGCGCAGGTAGTTCCCGAGCTAGGCATGCACTTGAAGACTATGTTTCACTCTTTCATAAAGCAAGCTTTGCGGGACCCCTCCGCCCCTGTGCACCCATTCGCAGGTCGTGTCGACTTTCCTCACGTAACTCCCGCAGGTTCAGTGAGTTGCCGAGCCACTGCAGCCCTGGCGTCGCTCGGTACATACAAGAGGCGGCTCACGTCGGTCGTCCAGCAGCACACTGGAGGGACGCAAAGCTAGCAGCCTCCTTGGTGCACGCAAGACGAGGCTGAGCAGAGCTCCAAGCTCTTCTGATGCACATGTGCACTCCAATGAGACCGGCGTCGCACCCCGATTCCTAGAGATGTGGTCGCACTGGCAGTCTTGTTGGTCCCTGGGGGCCGTCGAGGAGTGCCAGAAAGCAAAATTCCATCCTTCTTGCGCAGGTAGTTCCCCAGCTAGTCACTTCCTTGACGAAGTCGCACCCTCTCTGGAAGCAAGCTTCGGGATGCTCTTGCGCACCCATTTGCAGGTCGTGTCGCCTTTGCTCACGTAACTCTCGCAGGTCCAGCGAGTTGCCGAGCCGCTGTAGCCCCGGCGTCGCTGGTCGTGCATCCTTGTCCTTGTCGTGCATCAACCACCACTGCCCATTTCCGCAGAGTGCTTAGGTGTGGTAGCTTGACGTGCTTTCGCAGAAAGCTGTATGCCTTTGCCGAGTAAAAATGGAGCGTGAGGGCAAACTTGCGCACATCCTCTGTACATGCGTTTTTGTTGCGCCTGACTCTTTTTAAGACGAGGTTGCGCATTGTGTTGGTGAATGCATTGTCAAGTATGTCAACTGCTGGCTTAGGAAGTCGTGTCCTCAGTTCACGGAGCAGCGTGTTCAGCTTCCTAATCCTGGCCGTCTTCCGATTGATCTTCTTCTTTGCCTGTTTCAACAGTTTCCTCGCCTTCTGCAGCTTTTGCCTACTCGTGGCCAGGACCCTGTGCAGTCGTGGTGACACAGCTGCGTACGAGTGGTCACCGAAGGAAGTGTTGCGTCGCATGAACACAGCTTCAGGGGAAGTCTCTGATGTCGTAGCCTGAGAGGGGGCAGTAACCAGCTTTACACCAGCTGCTTCCAGAACAAGCAGCAGCTTGGGCCTCTCCTGGGGTTGGCTGATCAGTTGTCGATCCAGGCTGCCTCTCTGGAGGGTGAGACCTGTCAGCAGAACAACGAGCGGTGACATTCAAGACTGCCTGTATTCCACAAGACTGTGTGCCAGGGCATGCATTCTTGACAGGTTATACTGTGCAATGTGATATGTGACACACCTTTTATGCGTTGGCCAGAACTGGCACTGACCCATAAAAAGGGGGTGCTGGGAGTTCTGGCTTATGAATAGGGTTCCATGTTTTGGGTGTTTTTTAATTTGTGAGTATTACCTGGTGCAGTGAGCAAAAAAAGAGCCGTGATCAAAGGGTGCAGCCAAAAGCTGTAACCAAAAGTTGTGTCCAAATGCCGTGACCAATGCGACGCAATCCAAGGGAAAAGAAAATAAGAGAAAAACAAACAGCTGTGCTCACGTTATCATTTTCGTCATGTGACTTAATTATTAATCACGTGATCGAACAAAAAATAAACCTAGAAATAAATTATCCCCTGCCCGGTTTCGAACCTAGGCTCTCATGATCGCAAAACTAGTGTGCTATTCATTGCGTCAACCTTGCTCATTGACGTCACCCTAACTCGGCCAAAGGTAATGCTCACGCATTCTCACATCATGAAAGAAAGCTGAGGTGCTCTCGTAGTTTTATTTTTTTAAAAATGGGGGTGATTTTTTGGTGCTTATTTGTTCTCTTGAATTTTGAGTTTTTCGGTGTCTATTTTTGATATCGACTAAAACTCGGAGTGTCACGGTACTTATGTGGTAAAAGCAAATGCATATCTGTGGCGTTTCTAGGAGACACAACATGATATGCACTATTCATTGCTAAATGGAGCACATCAAAACAATTTCCAAAGAAAAAGAGCAGCCTCGCAGACAGTTCAGTGCGGTCGGTGTTGTGGTTCAACAAAAGTACAGACGTTTATCAAGGTTCCCTGCCGTGGAAAGTGCAATTCCTCTTCAAAGCAAGCTCAATTCGGGTTCTTTCGGTTTTTGCAGATTTCAAGAAAAATCGTTTGGAGGTCATATTTTTATGTATATCAGTATATACTGAAAACACGTAACCCACTTATGGTTGAATGATTGTAAAAAGCATACAGCATGCCATGGAATTATTATAATGGTGGTGGTTGAAAGTGTTGCAAAGAACCTGAATGTTTTACTCGAACCTATCAACTTGATCCCAAAGATGCCACTTTTCTAGTGATTCGTTGACCACCACTTTCAGATACAAGAGACACACCTTTGCAAATTGTGCAACTAGTCGCCCGAAGTACCTGAAAACTGGAGCTGGTTACTTCCCCCTCTCGGGCAACGACGTCAGAGACTCCCCCTGAAGCTGTGTTCAAGCGACGCAACACTTCCTTCGGTGACCACTCGTACGCAGCTGTGTCACCACGACTGCACAGGGTCCTGGCCACGAGTAGGCAAAAGCTGCAGAAGGCGAGGAAACTGTTGAAACAGGCAAAGAAGAAGATCAATCGGAAGACGGCCAGGATTAGGAAGCTGAACACGCTGCTCCGTGAACTGAGGACAGGACTTCCTAAGCCAGCAGTTGACATACTTGACAAGGAATTCACCAACACAATGCGCAACCTCGTCTTAAAAAGAGTTAGGCCAACAAAAACGCATGTACAGAGGATGTGCGCAAGTTTGCCCTCACGCTCCATTTTTACTCGGCAAAGGCATACAGCTTTCTGCGAAAGCACGTCAAGCTACCACACCCAAGTACTCTGCGGAAATGGGCAGCGGTGGTTGATGCACGACCAGGATCAGAATGCACGACCAGCGACGCCGGGGCTACAGCGGCTCGGCAACTCGCTGGACCTGCGGGAGTTATGTGAGCAAAGGCGACACGACCTGCAAATGGGTGCACAAGAGCATCCCGAAGCTTGCTTCCAGAGAGGGTGCGACGTCGTCAAGAAAGTGACTAGCTGGGGAACTACCTGCGCAAGAAGGATGGAATTTTGCTTTCTGGCATTCCTCGACAGCCCCAAGGACCAACAAGACTGCCAGTG